GCCCGCCCCCAGCCCCGCCATCCTCTCAGTCCCCGAGGGGGGTTTCTTGGCAGCGCGGCCAGTGGCTTTGTCATCCGAGTTATTGAAAGTGGCTGCTGCCGCCAAGTCAAATACAACTGGACCTTGAGAACATCTTAGATAGTCACGAGGCGGGCAGAGGGGGAGCTGTCCTATTTCGGGTAGTAATTACATCGCAGAATCCTCTGTCCCTGCTCTCCTTTTAGAGAGGAGGATACTAGAGCCCTAAGAGGTAAATTGACCTGTGCAAAGTCACACAAACAAGCGTGTCACCAGAGAGGGTTAACGTCCCCCCAAATCCTTCTGTCAATAAGACTCATTGACTACATAACAGGATAACCAAGATGCACTGCTCAGGGAAAAAACGGCAAGTGTCAGAACAGTATGTATATTATAGCCCCGATTTCTTGGTGGGGGGGGAGGCGTGTATGCACATTTTTAAAATTCAGGAAGATTATACATCAACTTCTCATACAGTCGGCTCTCGTAATCCTCAATTCCACATGCACAGATTCAGCAAATGAGGATTGAAAATTGTTAGGGTCTGGACAGGATGAGGTTGAAATGGATGAATGGAGAAGGGCGGAGAGGCGAGGCGGGGACGCAGCACCGCCAGAGTCCTCAAGCAGGAGGTGCGTGCTGGCAACCCAGAGATCCGAGTAAATGCAAAGAATTGCAACACAAAGAGGTGAAAGAAGAAAAGATTTAAGAAAGCTTCACACCGCCCCCCAAACAGGGAGTGGGCCTACACTCTAGGTGAGTGTGGCCTCCTAGCCCCCCAAATCCCTGACTTAAATCCTTTCCCTGGAGATGTTGCATGTGGCTGCCGTGACTTCCTTATCGACCACCTGTGGATGTCTTGGAGAATCTGTGACACAGAGACCCATTAATGTTCATCTACATTATCATAGCCCCTAGACAAGGGCATGATGAGGATTCTAATTCTCCTGTACCTTCCCGAATGACATTCCTTAGAGCTAATAGAGGATGCACCTCCTCTTATCTCCTAGGCATTCCCAGTGGGTAGCTTCGGGGGATCCTTGGCTTCCCTGTAGATAGTGCCCAACTTACTGGAAGATCTAATCCCCACCTGCTCTCCCTCTGAGTGGTCATAACTTTTGTAATTACAAGTTTCATGACTTTTACAATCCTTGTCCAATGCATGATGTCTTAGGTCTTGTAAATTCCCTTTACTTTAGGCAAGCTTGATTGCCGTTATGAGATACCTCTGATACCTGGCACCAGGAAGTCTGTTTCTGAAAAGACAAAGTCGGTAAAGTTAATTTTTCTTAAAGTATGCATTTCTCCAAAAGCATAGGTTCTACTTTCTCATCATTGTGTCAGGGTTTAAGAACAAGATGAAAAATGCCTTTCAGCTCTCGGTCTGTCCTTTCAAAAATATTTTTTAAAAATAAAATATAGCCGGGCTTGGTGGCTCAGCCTGTAATCCCACGACTTGGGAGGCTGAAGTGAGTGGATTGCTTGAGCCCACAGGTTCGAGACCCACCTAGGCAACTTGGTGAGACCTCATCTCTACAATAAGTCAAAAATTAGCCAGGCATGGTAGCGCGCCTGTAGTTCCAGTTACTTGGAAGGCTGAGGCGGAAGGATTGCCAGAGCCCAGCAGGTCAAGGCTGCAGTGACCGGGAGCAACCACTGCACTCCAGTCTGGGTGACAGAGTGAGATTCCAACTCAAAAAAAAAAATTAGCCGGGCCTGGTAGCACGCGCCTGTAGTTCCAGCTACTTGGAAGGCTGAGGCAGAAGACTCACCTGAGCCCAGCAGGTTGAGGCAGTGGTGGCCGGGAACATGCCACTGCACTCCAGCCTGGGCACCAGAGTGAGACTCCAACTCAAAAAAATAAATAAATAAATAAAATGTAAAATAAATAAACAGCAATTTAAAAAATACAAATAAAAAATACAATATAACAACTATTTGTATGGCATTTACATTTTATTAGGTTTTATAAGCAATCTAGAGATGAGTTAAAGAATATGGGAGGAGGTACAAAGGTTATAGGCAACTACTAAACCATTTTGTATTTGGGAGTTGAGTATGGGAGGATTTTGGTATCCATGGGAGGTCCTAGAACCAAACTCCTGTGGATACCATGTGTCAGTTGGAGTTGTTTTCTCTGAGAGATGAGACTGTGAGTTACTTTCACTTCCTAGTTTTTACTTTTTTATTGTTTGAAGTTTTTTGTTTTTGTCTTTTGGGTGTTTTTGAGTCAAGATCTCACTCTGTCCAGGCTGGAGTGCAGTGGTACAATCATGGCTCATGTCATCCTCGAACTCCTGGGCTCAAGCAATCCTTCTGCCTCTGCCTCCACCTCCCAAAGTGCTGGGATTACAGACTTGAACCACTGCTCCCAACCTATTGTTTGAAGTTTTTACAAGGTGTACATATTTTTTTAAGCAGGAAAATAACCAATTCCTTTGAGCTTTACTTTCTTAATCTGTAAAATAATGTCAATGTCACCTACCTTGCAGAGTAGTAGTGATGATTTAATAAGATAATGTATGTAAACACTCAGCGCAGTGAATGGCCCGTTGGTAAAATGCAATAAATATTTGTTCCTTTCTCCTTCCCTCTAACGATATGACTTTTTGTGTTTGTCAAAGTACCACTCAGAATCACTGCTGCCAGTCTGCCCTGACCCTCCAATCCTACTATATGGAAATTCAGCTCTAAAGGGGCTCTGATTTGTACTAGAGAAACCCAGAAAGATAACACAGAGCAAGCTACAGCAAGATAAGGTAGACTCTTCTCTCCTCTTTGCCTGCTTTACCTATTTCCACAAATGTATCCCCCAGGCAATCAGCCTTGCCCCAAAGGCAGAAAAGAGGAGTCACCTCTGGGACCAATTCTTACTTTGAGATCTCAGATCATCCAAAGTGAACCTGGGAAATTTGAACAAGTCGTAACCAATGGGAAAGTTGAGAATTAGATTTCCCTAAGGGCACCTGAAGTCTGCAACCACATCTCTTACCTCCCCCACCTCCATCTGCCCTGGCACGTCTCAGAGCAGAGCCTGTAAAACCAGCTAAGGTTAGTTTTCTGATCAATGAAAGGCAGATAGATCCTCAGAGTCTTAGCCCAAGCTCTTTGTTCTCCTTGGAATGTCTTTTTTCCAGATATCCACATGAATAGCAGACTTTTCTCCTTCAAATGTCCTTCAAAGTTGTCTCAAATGTCATTATCATAGTCTATTAGAGGTACCATTTTTTTAATGCCTTAAACTGAGTGACTTATTAACAACAGAAACTTATTTCTCACACTTCTAGAAGCTGGGAAATCCCAAATCAAGGTGCCAGCAGATTCAGTGTTTGGGGAAGGCCAGTTGTCTGGTTCATAGATAATGTCAAGTAACATGCCCAGTACAAAGCATCAGTTGCCATAATCTTTGGTAGATAAATTTTTTCTCACTATAGCCAGTTCCATACATCATTTATGAGCACATCAGAAAATTGGAAGTGGTCCACCATGACCCATTCAATAATTCACATGTTTCCTACTGATAGTTCTCAAGCCTGCCTTAGGAGACAGTTTCTATGTTAGTGTTTAGCACACTAAAAAACATACAAATTAAAATAGATGTCCTTTTTTCACCACTCAAATTAGCATTTTTGCAAAATGTATTGTCCACTGTTGGTGAGTATAAAATTAAGTGGCCACTGTCATTAAGCTTCAGAAGGAGCAACTTTCAGAAATTAATTTATAATTGATCAACTCCCTCAAATGTTCCAACTCTTAAACCCAATGATTCCCCTTCTAAAATTTTCCTTAAAGAAATAATTTCAAAAATAAGATACATGCAGAATGGGCTTTTAAAAACTAGAAGGCAAGTTACCTTTAATAATAAGAGTTATCTACAGTAGCGTAGGTTGTAATTGCCTAGAGGCTATAGTGGGGTACCTCCAAGAACTTGGGAATGAAGAAACTGCATTTTCCACTGAAAATTAAACTGCCAAATCATCCTAAGATGGATCAGAATCCAAAGATGCAAAAATCAGTGGAGAGACAAAAGCTACTAGATTCACATGCTTTGATCGAGGGCATTGACTCAAAATAAATATTATGTCAATTAGAGAAAGTTATAAGTATACAGAAATCAGAGAGTGACCATGGACAGAGCCATTCAAGCACTCCCACAGCATTACCAGCAGATGTCCTTGTTCTGTCCCGTGTCAGGGCCATTTCCAAGATGAGAAGGAGCCACTAGACCACCCCAGAATTGGACCCTGAAAGACATTCCACTCCCCTTTTCCTGGTACCAAGTTTACATAGGAACCACTTGGTTCCCCCAACTGAAAGGTAGTTTCTAATTATGATAATCTTTTATGGTAGATGGAAGGGATATAATTTATACCAGTGCTACCATAAACACTCCCTGTCTGTGTGACAGTTATACATGTCATTCAAAGATTTTATAACGTGGCACCATAATGTCTTCCTTAGGCTGCTGTGTGGTGTAATTGCATGAATTCATCTTTTAGAACTTGGTCACTCCTGGGAACTATAAGAACCAGTTTCAGCTGGTCTGTTCTTCACACCATTTCCACATGTAGGAGTCTGTTACTGATTTCTACAGGGAGAAAGAAATCTGAAACAACAAAATGCTCAACATTAGGCAAAATGTTTATAAATTATGCTACATCTATCCCAGGCAATATTATGTAGTAGTTAAGAATTTTGTTTTTTATAACAGATGCTGGAGAGGATGTGGCAAAAAGGAAACACTTCTACACTGTTGGTGGGAGTATAAACTAGTACAGTCTCTGTGGAAAACACTGTGGCAATTCCTAAAAGTTCTAAAAATCGACCTTCCATAGACCCCGCAAGCCCCCTACTGGGAATGTACCCAGAAGAACTCAAATCACTCTATAAAAAAGATACCTGCATATGTATGTTTATCGCAGCATTGTTCACAACAGCAAGAACATGGAACCAACTGTGCTGCCCATCAGAAGAGGACTGGATTAAAAAATGTGGTACATATACACAATGGAATATTATGCAGTCATAAAGAAGAACAAAATAATAAACTTCACAACAACCTGGATGGACTTAGAGTCTATAATACTGAGTGATCTTTCACAGAAACAAAGAACTGAGTATCACATGTTCTTACTCATAAGTGGAACTTGAACAACTATAAGAAAAGGATTGACAGTAGCGGGAAACTGTGGTGGGCAGGAGGGAAAGTGGGATTGACAGTAGTGGAAATCTGCCTGGGGAAGTGGGGGGACACACCTCATCAACAAGGATACCTGCACAATGAATATTTGTATACCTAGCCTGGAATTGTACCCCACAATTTTAAAATTAAAAAGTTTTTTAAAGTAAAAAAAAAATTTCTTTGTTAAGAATATTTAATTACTTGCAAGAATAGTCATCATACATGTTGAACATGTATGATTCATACTCTAGAAACCAGTTTGGCAGTTTCTTACAAAATTATGCATACAAATGCCATACAACCCAGCAATCTCACCCTTGGGCATTTGTTCCAGAAAGACAAAAACTTAGATCTTTACATAAAAATGCGTACACAAATATTTATTCATAATAGACAAAACTGGAAACTACCCAGATATTCTTCAACAGTCTGATTCCATTTATATGGCAT